CTCGATTCAGTAAAAAGAATCTAATTTACCATCACTAGCACATAGACAGGAAGTAGAACTCAACAAATGTCAAAATAAAAGCCAAGAAAATCGAATTTGAATTAAAGACACTTACCAAATTATTCAAAAAATGAAGAGACTTGTCTGTTTTGTATCCAGCTGAGGACATCATTCTGTTTACGGTGTACTGACGCGGACAATTTTGGGTCAGGATGACACAAAATACACAAATATTGTGTGAAGATAAAAGCAGGAAAGGACCGCGCAGTGAATCGAAATGTAAACTCGAGCGCTCTCGTTTCGTTCTTTTCTTTGTGGCGCTCCAGTTTATCCTCCTACAGACTTCAGTCTGCAGCAGTTTGGAATCAGTTTAATGTCAAAGAGTCGGTGAAGAACAATAAATATGAGTTTCATGGAATATTTGATGGACAGTGTTTGAAAAGTAAAGTTAAAAATATCACCGTTGAACAAAATAATCATGGTTACAATCTTTGTTGCGCATGAAGCTGTGGCTAATTATGTGTTTGATCTCTGACCCTGCCGACGTGTCCTTGAGCAAGAACGCACAGGACAGAGCACAGCATGAGCAACCTGAATGTTAAACAGCCAGCGGCTTCTCACAGGGTTTTGGATTGTCGCAGGAAATAACCTCTGTGGTGAATAACAGGTTTACGACACGTTTCAGGAGGATGAGCTTCATAAACTTTTTATAATTAAACTTTTTATGATTTCATTTTATGAAAAGCCTGCATGCCTTAAGCACAAGGAAGATGCTGACATTATAGATGCATCGTCTATGCAAACGCCTTCTCTGGGACAGAGTGTGTATTTTATAGCAAAGAGGAAAATATATGAAGCTCATATTAGAGCTTTTCACTTTGAAACGAGGGATCTTTTAAGTCACTACACATTTTCATTTGAAGAAATTTGCCTGCGTTAAATGAAAAACGTGATGTTTTGACTCTTTTCTGCCTCTGACTGGTTGAACAGGTGACTTCACGTGAGATGCAAAAACAAAAAAACCTTGAATATGAAATATTAATTGAAAAAGCCCCGAGTGCAGCTGCAGGAGTGTTCGGCGTCCGTCGGCCGGCAGCGGAGCTCGAACATGAAGAAGAGCCCGGCTGATAAACAGACCTGAGCCGTCTTTGCCTGGAAAGAAAACGCGAGTCTTTGTGTTTACACCAGAGACACTTTGTTGCATTTCAGAAAAGGCGCAAAGCCTCGCGTTTCACTGAACTAAACAAAGAAAAGCGAAGGCCTGTCAGCGGCAGGCGCGTTTCCTGACAGGCTTTCTGTCTGCGCTGAAGTAATCACGACAGCTTCTGTTGTAATGTAGTGTAACATTTATTTGTGATGCAGACACACAAAGAAAAGGAAAAAGAAACACGTCTGCTCTGTTAAAGATAAGAACATTTCTATCTGCACCATCCCTCACAGCCCACAAACACCCAGGTAGCTTAAATCGACTGTATCTGCAGCATTTTTCATCACGCTTCTCTTTTCCTTTGCTTTGGTTTCCTTTAATAATCAAAGCAAGAAGGTTATCTCGGCCCTCAGAACAACAACTGAGCCTCACATTAAAGGTCGTGATACACAGGTGACATTTGAAGTCAGCGTTGAAGGGAAATACCGGCCAGAACTGTGCAGTCGGCGGTTTTTCTCCGCTGCACTTCATTGTTCAGTGTGGATAACAAAGCCTGTTATTTTATCTGCTCAAAGTTCATCCTGCTCTCAATACCAGCCGCCACAACAGCACCACGCGGAAGGGCTTCGTTTTACGACGAGACTGTTTCTGTGCAATTTACCGACTCGTGTTGGTACGCTGAGAAAAAAGAGAATAGATTTTCTTTTCCTGTTGGAACATTGAGCGTCTTTGTCATGGACGGATCTGCAACAGAAAGAGTTTCTGTTTGTTTTTTAATAAAAGGCAGAGGAAGTGGAAAAGAATGAAAATAAGACGGACACAAAACAATGCAGACTAAAGAAATGAAAAGGAGAACAAAGCAACCACAGCAGGGGCCTAAAATGATCTATTTTTGTCTGCTCGGCACAAAACAACAATAAGAAGACACAAAAAAATCACCAGAAGTGTCACAAAGCAGCACAAAGAGACTCGCAACTATAAAAC